TCGTCCTGATTGCGATCAGTGTAAATGGTTTCTCGACCTGATGGCTAACATCGAATATCGTCTCTCGGCTTGATGGCTAATATCGACGTACGTTCCTCGGCATGATGTTTAACAACGAAGTACGATACTTTTCCTAATGGCTAACATCGAAGCACATTCCTTGCCCTGATGTCTAACGTCGAAGGACGTTTCTTGTCGTGTTGGTTAACATAGAAGTTGGTTTCTTGGACAGAGAGCTAACAGCGGATGTTGTTTTCCGGCCTGATGTCTAACATTGAAGTACACTCGGCTTTAAACACGTTGCGTGTAATTATAGAAAATCGTCGATAATATATTGACAGAATGGATGTCGAAGAATTTGAATGGCCATATTAAAGTGCCAAAACACTAGAGAATAGTCACACTTCGAGGTTGATAAATAATTCTAGATGATGGATTGGATATTGAAAAATTTCGCTCATTGTGATCCCCACGGTCCGTAGGATTATTCAAAACCACCAGATCCATGAAATATATTGATACGATACTTGAAGAATGTTTCCAAGTACCAATTGCAAACCTCATTCGATGTACCGGGGAGCCATAACATTTCTGTTTCTTTAAATGCCTTTAGATCGTAGTTAAGTATTAACAAATTTTTTCATATTGACCTCTACAAAGCGTGAAATAATACAGGTCAATCAGTTCGAAATTATTTATTTTTACGGAGAATGTTGAGAATTATCGAATATTATATGTAAACAGCTTTCCACGTGCCGTAATACTCTTGGGTCGATAAACCGTATTAAATCATCCTTATATTTCAAAGAATTTTTGTAAATAACTTTAGTTCGTTGTGTATTTGAAAAATTTTGTCCATGATAATCACCACGATGTAGAGAATAATGTTACAGCATCGTAAAGACATAATGTATTGTCAAGGTGAATGTCTAGAATTTTCAAAGTGGATATTTAAATCACTATCCACATACCTAAAACCCTTTAGTTTCAGTCTCGATAAATAATATTAGATCGTCGTTTATATTAGAATATTTTGAACATAATGATTCCTGCTATGCGTATAATAATATTACATCATCGAAATTTTGTATTGATAGAGTGTTTGTCGAGCATTGTCAATAAGTATATATATGCAAACCTCATTCCTCATATCTGAAAGCCATAATATTTCGGAAACTGTATACAGTATTAGAACGTCGTTGTACAATAAAATATTTTATTCATAGTGAACCAGCGATGCTTAAAATAACAAAAGTCTGGAGGTCAGTATGATACATTGCCAGAAAATGGATGTCGAATATTTTAAATGTTTACATGTAAATCCCGATCGGTACCAGATGAAGGTAAAGATTCAGCACTAATGTTTTATGTTAGAACGTCATTAAATATTATACAGTTGTAATCGTAATGATTTAATGACAACGGCTATTTTTTATAACGGCAATCTACTATTTATCGGCGCTAAAATATTATGGTGTTCCGGTACGTGAAATGGGGTATACATATGCCTATCTAAAATTCTCGACATTCTCCGTATCGACATATTACCTAGAATTGATGGTCTTATTCATCTCATCGCTGTGAACCACAAGAAAACTTTTAATAATATAACGATGATCCAACATCATTTTTCGACACTGCAATTGTTACGGTGTTC